AAACTAAAAAAAAAAAAAAATCCCCCAAAAAAGCAGGAAGCAAAAAATGAAACACTGTAGTTTGCAGCATGCCTTGAAGAATGGAACAACACTTCAGCAATGCATCTTATAACACTGTTCAACAAAACAGATTTACAAGGAATGGCCAGCTCTAAAGTTAACTTAAAAATATTTCTTGTCATTGCCTGAGACTCAGAGAAATTACTTGGCACAACCCTGTTGAATAATGTTTTTGACATACTAGCTATATGCCACCTTTGTAAGGAGATGCTGGCCTCCCCCATTTCTTTCTCTGGTAAACATTTTAGGCCATGTTGCATGTGTTTACTTCATTTCTGCAGTTTTATTTGCACATTCTCGATCACATTTCCATCCCTTGTGTACCTGACGCTTTGCCCATGACCTCAAATCCTCCTTTATAACCAAAGCTCTCAAAGCTAGCAAATAGGTACTTAATCCAAACGCTGTATCTATTGTGTAGTTTCGGGTTTGGGTTTGGGGTATCCTGCAGTTTACTTTTGATTAATTTATATGAAACCTTGAAGCCAAGGGGCTGCACACTGTGAATTATTACAGCATTATATGCTATGTAGTTCACTTTTCAGGTAGAGTTGCGAAGCATGCAAAAATGAGTGGCAAGTAGATGAGAACTATCTATCAACTCAATAGTTTAGCTATTAAACCTGATAGGCTGCAGCGCACTGATTTGTCTTTCTGATTTTGTAGTTTCATAGTGGTGGAGAACATAGACAGCTATTGTGTTCTCATTTCGTCCAAAGCTGTTTATTTCCTGAAGCGTGGAGATTATGTTGACCGAGAGGCCATCTTCCTGGAAGTCAAGTATGATGATCTCTACCACTGCCTTGTTTCAAAAGACCATGGGAAGGTTTATGTACAGCTGACAAAGAAAGCTGTGAACACAAGTAGCGGTGTAGCAATACCAGGCCCATCGCATCACAAACCTATGGTAAGGCTCTAGTACTTCCCCTTCCCCTCAAGTGATGTTTTCTGCTGCATACAGGGATATAATACAACAATCACATACTTCATTGTCATAAGTGAACATTCTGCTGTGCTGCTTGATTATGAAAACTGCAGGAAGAGTGGTGTAGGAAATACATTTTTTTCTGGGTTTTTTTTGTCCTGCTATGAGAGGCTTGGGTGCAGAAATAATTCTGCACCCTTATAAATAATTTTGCTCTTATAAACTCCGCAGAAAGATCAGGGGAAATCCAGCAGCTTCTTGAACAGGGATACATTTGCTGGCAGATATGAAGGAGTGTTCCACTTTTTGAGGGCAAAAAATGTAGTCAGTATGAGTAGACTGTGCATCAACCAAGATATGATTGCTAGAGGCCAGAAAAAAGTCTAAACCTTATCAAGTTATTCTTCCGTATAATGGAACATCTATCGGATTGCTTCAGAGCATGACATCCTTTCTTCCTCACCTTGTACACTGCATTTTTTTTAAAAGAAACTATTCTCTTCAGTCCCCTCCATGCACCTATGTATTGCTTGTCTGTAGTAAAGTTAATCTTTGCCATAAAATTCACAATGGTAGCTTTCTATTTTAATCCCATTGGAGCTGGCTCATTTTATTACAGCAGCACTAAAAGCCCCATTGTCCCGGCTCACAGCAAGGGCTTCTCCCTGCCCCAAGTGGTTATAGTCTAAATAACAAGGCAGACAAAATATATAAGAGGAGAAACAGAAGTGAGATATTTTACCCAGGCTACTTATAATACCATAAGAAGATCCTGCCCTCACCTTTTCATCTGAAAATCACATACCTAAAATGTCTGTAGGTACTTCCTATCAGATTATCTTAAATTCTTGTACAAACATTATTTCACCTCCTCTCAGCACGGAGGTAGGTAAGGGAAGCCCGGCTTTATCAAGAGTTAGAATGATGAATGTAAGGACAAGAAATTAAGACTCCCAATTCCCAGTTTTCTGCTTTTTAAGAAGTTGCCTGTTTAATGTAAATTAACCAGGCTGGTCATCTTAGTTGGATGAGCTCTTTATAATCATCTACTTTCATATAATTAATAGATAGATAGATAATCTACTTTCATGTAATCATATATTTACTGTAAATGGATACTTCTGTTTCTCTTAGTGGTGGTAATTTTTTTTTCAACGCCATAGAAACTGTTGGTAACACAATCTCTTATTTGTGCAGGTTCACGTAAAGTCTGAAGTCCTCGCAGTAAAGCTGTCTCAAGAAATAAACTATGCAAAGAGCCTTTATTATGAACAACAGCTTATGTTAAGACTTAGTGAAAATCGAGAACAGTTGGAGCTGGACTCCTGAAAACATCACACTTCCTGCCAAAGGGAATTTACCTTACACATTGCAAGTACCAATCTGGGACAGAAAGGCCTCCTGTCTCTTAAATAAAAGGAAAAAACAGAATCTCAATGTTGGAAAATGTATTCTGTAACTATAGAAAGCAATGCACTGGAAGCAAATGAATACCATTAGTATTTGCTGTATGCGGTGATTTAGATTATGAGAGAACCAGATTTTTTTTTTCAGTGTTAGCTCGATAACCACCACATTTTAAATGCATTTAGTCCTGGAAGAAGCCCTGTGTTTTGTTACCTTGTATATATGTACAACTGTGTTTGATGTAAATAAGAAAGTATAGACCTAGGGTGTGGTTATGTATAAAGGTCTATCTACTGTAAAGAAATTAAAGAGAAACTATATTGAGCCTTAATGCACTAATTGAAACTGCACACTCTCTCTGTAGAAAGTTATTCTTGTGAGTGGAGGAATGTAGATGTAATAAAAAAAAATGTTCGTTACAGTTCTTTGGAGCTGGAAGAGCACAGAAGCCCTGTAGTGCAGGGTGGCTTTGTTGAATAGTCTCATAAGGGTGTGCTGTTTTTTTTTTTCCAGCACCATCAGTGCAGCTGGAAGCAGATGCATGGTCATCTACCAGAAATGCCACTTCCTTTTTCCCAGCAAATTCATCCTGCTTTTGTGAATCTATTGGGAGTAGAGTGGGGAGGGGCTCTCTGGTTCAGGTAGTTCAACCACATTCTCAAAGCCTTGAAAAACAAGCTCATTTTTTGGTAAAATGATTGAGTTCAGTTTCAGGAAGGTATCCACACCCTTTTCGAAGACCTTGGAACTGCCCCTGCAGATGAAAAGAATCCAGTTGCAGAGGTCACTGGTGAGATGTTTTACAAATATTTAAAATGGGCAGCACTTGAAACAGATCTTTTTTACCTCCACTTTGATTCAGCAAGTATATTAGTTGGTGGTTGTAGAGTTGCTCTTTAGTGGTAGGCTGCTGGGAACGGTTTGGATTGATCTGGAGAACAAATCACTGCAGCATTTGTTTTGGAATCTAAAAACCCAACTTTTCAAAAGAAGCTTTCAGAATAGATCAAGCGTTCCCTCTGCTTCTCTGTGCCCGATGTCAAAGTTGTCTCCTTGACCTTGACAGTGTCCTTGTAAGAAGGGCAGAGATTGCTCCCATAGGCTTTGAGAGAAGAGAGCATTTTGCCCTTTTAGTCAAAGCTGAAGGAAACCGACTCTTTCTTTACCGGAATTTAAGTCTTTTCTAAGTTTTGTTTTTGTTTTTTGTTTTTTTTTCCCCAGTAAAAAAAAAAACTAAGGACTTTTCTGTTTCCTTTTTTAATGACTCTGTTGCTGTGCATCTCAGGAGGCAGTTCAGGTGATTACACTGAAATCCTTCCTGCGGCACGGCATCTGCTGTGCACGTTCCACCTGGGAGGCACACCATTTCCACTAAACTACAGAGCAACGTTTTACAGATTTCAGCAGATTTCAGGTTTTCTAAGCACACTTTCTTTTTCTAAACTTTTGATTATAAATGAGCAGTCCACAGAAGTTTTACACTTGAATTCACTTATCTTTCATATTCTTAACTAAAGGCACACAATAGGAATATTTTTTAAATTGAAGGCTAGAGTAAAACCATTTTTAAAACTTGTAATATGTTGAATGCAGAGGATCATTGTGTCAGGAGAAGCTGTGATGATCAGCGGATGTGTGGATGGTCTGTGCTTGGAATTTAAAATCCATAAAGGTCCATCACACAAATGAAGCTGGCTTAATGCATCACGTTGTTGTACATTTCTCTGTATATTTTATTTTTCAAGTAAAATGTAAAAATTCAACAAATGCATTGGCTCAACAGTGCTTTAACGTGTCAGTCCCATTGGACTCAACCACTAAGCTCACTGCTTCTGTCCCATGTAATTCATATTTATTGCAGTGAGCACACAGCTATTAAAGCTGGGTGGGTTTGGGGGTTTTAGGGGAAAGCAGCTAGTATTCTTGTAAGATCGCACACCAGTTAAGAAAAATATCAAGAGACAGTTCCCATCTTTATGCCACTGATTCTGGCTCAGTGGAAGAAAGTTCCTAAATGATCATTTGCTTATTATGGGGCAGATATGTTATGCTGTTTTAAGCAGCAAGGCACATCAATAGCAGCACTGCTAAAAAGCTTACACCCTGAATGTAATTATTTTTTCGCTCAGGGAGATAGTAAAGAATAACGTATATGATTTGCGAATGTTTTTACGAGCTTCAGAAAGTACTTGTTGAGGAATGGCCGGTGGTCATGACCATAGAGTAAATAAAGCTTGCCATTTAGACCGTAGGAAATCATGGGCCGCCAGCAGGACACTAATGCAGTGGGATTATATTTGGTTCAAAAACGTTTAGGTGTGTTATGCAGGTAGTCTAGGACTGATATCCCCATCTCCCTGCAAACAGCGACTAAAGTTCCTTCTCAGAGCAAACATACAGCCACATGTTGCTCTGATGGGAGCCTTCACCATATTACTGTAAAGGGCATGGCCTCCACAGAGCTGAAGGCTGAATTTTTACCTCATTTAACCTTTCTTGCACTAAGATGTTGGGTTGAACTTTAAATATGCCTCTTTAAACCCATCTGGACCTGGAGTGATGTAAAGTTATTGTCACTGGAACCCAACTATTTTTATACCTTTGTTAAGAATTCTTGCTGAGGGCTTCCTATTGTTATTGGCACTGCCAAACTATTACTAAGTGAACAAATAACTCTCGGATTCCAAGACCCATATTCAAAAATAGTTTTCTGGGGACGTGGAGAATAAAGTGAAGGTTTCCAGTTTGTCCTCCTCGGAGAGTTTCTAAGAACTAAAACACAAGCTTTAAACAAACAAGAACTGATAGCTGCATTTATTGAATTACATAGTCGTTAAGGGCTGCCCTCAAATCATGAGCAGTAAGTGGATAATCTTGCTTTCCACATCATCACTGTTGAGTACAAATACTTCTCAACTACAAACAAAATAGAGTAGCAGCCCCTTCCTGCTTCTAGTGAAGACAGCAGGGAGAATGGCAACGATGTAAATGTAATTAAAAAAAACCCTACAGAAATGTGATAGTGTAAATACATCTCTTGATTAGACTTTCTACCTTGTCAGAAACTTTGCCAAGAGATGGTGAAAAATAATTAAAGCTGATACTGTTTTTTTCCCCCCCCTTCATGTTCTGATCCTCAGAACATGGTAAATACACATCTGAGAGCAAGCCAATGACTTTATGCTTATGTTAAAGTTAACGTGAAATTATTCATAACTGCCTTAAGTTACTATCTACCTTGGCTTGCTCTGAAAGACGTATAGAACACGTCACAAAGATGCAGATGCCCCAGTGGCTTTAAAATGTTGCATAAAACTTATTGGAAGCAGCGATGTATACAACTGAAGATGCTTTTCTACCTAATCTTTTCTTTCTCCCCCTCTGTTGAAAATTGTACAGCATGCTCTCTGCCCACCTAGACGCACTTGCTTTTTGTTCTTGTTTGAGCTGCTAATGGTAGGGCAGTCAGAGAACACTTCTATTAGCAACGTGTAAGCGTAAAGGTATTTCAGAATAATTTCGAAGAAGTTTAAATCTGTGGTTCTAGGCTGTGTAAGCAAATGTGATCATAAAAACCTTTCAAGGCTCTTTATTATGTTACTCCTATTAAAGTATTCCTCCCTCATGTGGAATAAAAAATGTTATCTGGCTTCTAGAACACATTGGGTGTTTCTTTTTTGTAGTCCACTCCTGTAAAATGTTCTCGTTTGAAGCTTGGAGGGGGGGTTACAACTTTGTGAATAGCCTTCATAGGAACATGCTGTTCTCCTGGAAACTGGTTGCTGGCAACCCTCGCTTGCAGAGCCACTATTTATAGGCAGGAGGTGGGCGGGAAGGTGACAAACAACAAATATGCAAGTCACAGAAAAATATTCATTCTTGAACTTAATGAAAGCCTCTGTGAGGCCAGGCACTGATTGGCAGAGCTGCAACAAAAATATGACTTACCAGAAAGTTGCAGATGTTTTGCAGTTTCAAATACCCGTTTTTGTAGCCAAGATTTCTCTGAAATAGAATACTCCATACTGAAGCAAGCAAAAGCCATGGCCCTTGAACTTGGGTCTTCACTGCAGAATTAGCCCAGGCTCCCCGCTCCCATCCAGAAACCTCCCCCCAAAGTTTGGTGGTGCTTACAAACCCAGAAAGCTGGTTTGACTGGAGAGATGCCGGTGCATCCCTCACTCAGGCAGGCAACCTGCTCACTTTGCACTCAAAAGTTCATAGTCCTCCCATGCCTTCCTACAACTCCCCCTAGGTACCCAGGACATGTTTTCACATGGCGAATTCCTGGATATTCCCTTGGAAGTTTTAGCAATACCTGTGAGTGCGTGTAGCACCAGGGAGGACAGTGGTAACACTTCCAAATGGGCCGGGCTCATGCTGATGCTCATCGTCCAAATTGACTCTGCTGTGAAGTCGTATAAATGCACGGCTAGAAAATAGATCCCCCTGAACCTTATTTTTCATGAGCACAGAATACACTCATAGAAACTAAAATAATAGGACCATTTTTCAGCTATGTTGCCACTCCAGATTTGGTAGCACAAAGTATATGCTGCCTTGTAGAAAACTGTCTAGTAGTATGTGAGTTGATGAAGGGGGGAAACACAGCATTGGATGGACCCTAAAGCCTTGGTTTACTGCTTTTGCCACCTCTCTCAGACTCTATTGCCTCTGAAATAAATGGCAATGCTCTGACTTCAGTTGGAGCAAGATCTATGACCAAGTTAAAGCAGTAGCGGTTTTGCCTGTGTTGCAAAAGAGGCACAGAAAAAGCCAATGGTTTTATTCTTTTACCTGTAGTTTCTCCAAACCCAACAGCTGCATCCAGAGACCTCCTGTTCTTTGCTCCATTGATCTACCGTGTTGTGGCTGTAAAGATTTGTTGATTGTAGGGGATGTGTGGGTTGGAGTTTGTGGAGGTGGTTTTGGCTTTGGCCTGGTTTGCACATTGCAGTCCGGAAGCTGTAGTTGGTCATCTGGTCTCTATTTTCCTTGGGTAGTTGGAAAAGGTTATTGTAAGGATTTGACTTCTTCCCGTAGTCTGGGGGATGATCTAGTTAAAACCTCATGGTTTGTAGATGTCAAAAGTGACTTTTTCTCATTGGCTAGTAGGCAACCATTTTCTAAGTTAGATGTTCATATGACTTCTCCATTAATTTCACACAGACAGCATGAAATTATTTTGGGAAACAGGTTGTGTTTAAAAAAAAAAAAAAAAAAGTTTATCCTAGCAACCCCCTTAGATGATTCCATCTAGAACAGATTGCATTTAAAAAAATGGTCTGGGTGACTGTGACCAACTATATTTAACTATGCAGCCTCTTTACTAGACATGCTCATAGGTAGTTACAGGTAACAATTAAAGATCTGGATTTGTCTGTCTGCCTGTCCCCTTTCATTCAGGAAATACAACTTTGGTTGCAGTGACCTGGAGAACAAGTCTGAGCATATAGAAGGGTAGAGAAAAATAGCTCTTCTGGAAAACAAATGTAAAACTCCCACAACTGATGCACAGTTGGGGATGACATCCCATTACATAAGTCTAAAACTAGAACTAGGTCTCCCATGCGTATGTCTTCACAAGTTTAATGGGCTGCTTGGTTGCTTTGAACCAAAACACTTTTTTGCATAGGAGAAAAAGTAATGTCAGTAGTATGTGGAAGCTTAAAACAGACTTTTAAATCAGTATCCCAGGTTACTGATCTCTTACTCTGATGTGGTCAGGGAGAAAGGTGCTATACATGGATTAAATCAGACAATTTATATCAGGTACATTAATACAATGCAAAGCAAAAATCTAGGTATGAAACAACAGAAGTTTCTTTTTGCAGAGGGCAATGCTCAGAAAACGGAATAAGTAAAGCACAGCTTGGTAGAAATGTAGGGCTGGAAGGGACTTTCAGCTATTTAAATAATTTTCTTTTAACATCCAACCTAAATCTTTCTGGCTGCGTATACATTTTTTCTGAGTGGCCATTCATGAAGAAGAAATCACTAGACTCATAAAAAGTAGGTTCTGTGTTTACCTCGCCCACACACTTCCTGTGACCAGTTGATGTTTAATCTCTGTGCAACTTTATCATTCATTTTTTTTGCCAGAGCTGAATTGGAGCCATAAATTTAAAATCAGAATCAGAAATTTCCCCTGCTTTCATGAATCTGGGGTGTGATTGAGAGCCCTGTCTGGTCCATCTTCGTATCAAATGGAAGTTCAAATTCTGCTCTTCCTTCTCGTCACTCTTGGGATGTGGATTGCTCAGCTACCGAGAAGGTTTGGCTATTCATAACCTAATAGCATAGGCAGCAAAATGGAAAATGGTCCTGGGCTACATGGTACTATATAAGGACAATTGTAATGGTGTGAACAGCATGCAAAAGGCACTTTTCGGAGATGGATACTACTTGAACTGCTGAGAGAGAAGGCTTTGTTTACCAAAATTGTAGTGCTTACATTTTTGTGGAGAGAAGGGCAAGTGGCTAGAAGTCTTTCTGGGGGAAGTTCTGCCCCTCGGCTAATTGTTTGAAGTCTGTCGACTTCAACAGTCGCTCTCGCATGTTCTCAGTTTCATGATAACTTGCTCCCGTTTTTATGTACAGCTGATCAGTGCAAGTGATGGCTTTGAGTTCTGTGCTGACGGCAACCGCGCGGTGCTCTTAACCCGTCACTAACACCTTCCTTCTGAGGATCTCAAAATGCGCTAATATATTTTAATGCTTGCAGTGTAATATTGCTTTGAGAGGGGAAATCAGAGGCATAGAGAAACTTGCATGAGAGCTGGGCACAGAACCTGTCTCTGCTGCTTCCTTCTGGCTGTGCCTGAATCTCAAGGTGACTTTCCATCTCTGCAAAAATGCTAGCTTCAGTTCTTGCCCTCTGGTTTTAAGATTGGAGGAGGGGAAAAGCTTGTGGCCCTTTTCTTTTCCTTGAATATGCCATTACTTGCGCTGGTTACAGGGACTGAGCTTCTGGCTTTTGGGACTGCAGAGAGTAGCCTGTTCCCAGGTTTAAATGTCTGAATCACCTAACAAAAATTCAAAGATTAACAATGAAGCTAGTGGAATAAGCTGATAAAGTGTTCAGTTATTGGTATGACTGGCAGGCTTCCTGTGATAGGAGGATTTGTAAGGATTCAATACGTGGCAGTTAGTTGCCAGGTTTATACTTTTAAACTTGTTCTGAATACTGAGCAAAGAGATCCACTTGAACTCAACTTTAGAGTCATGACCAGGGTTCCTGGTTTTCTCCGATTAAAAAAAAAAAATCCTAGTTTTCGGATTTTAAAAAAAGTAACCCCAAATCCACATTTTTCCGTGATTAAAATGAAACACCACTAATATACAGATGTGTATATATAGGCACATTTCACTTTAATCATGGAAAACTGTGGATTTGGGGTTACTTTCTTTTAAACCAAAAGTTGGGGATTTTTTTAAATAGGAGAAAATCAGGATCCCTGGTCACAATGCACAGCTCTTACAGAGAAGGAAGATGGTCTGTTCGTTGGAGGATAGAAGTGTTGGGCTCCGTTTTGTGATCTCTGGGGGAATCCAAACACGATCATGGTAATCAGAAAGTCTTCTATCTTAGGATGGACAAAACCCGCATTTCCCCATCTGCAAGGGGTCTGATATTATTTACTGTCACACTGTGAGCTTTGATTTATTGATAGTGGTAAAGGACTCGGATCCTTGGAGAAGAGGCAGTATATCAGGACAAAGTAGTAGTCTTTTTTGCAGTGTCCCACGCTATGCTGCCAGCCCAGGGAACACCTGGGAACAGAAAGAAGGGGACCAAAGATTAACCAGTACCCTCTCTGTGAGTGATGCCAACCGATCCCAGATCTCCACAAACCATCGAGTGCTGTGAAGTGTCCCAACGCCCCCAATGTGTCATTTGAGACAGTTGCTTCCTCCACTCTGGCTGGGTTTGCACAATACCGGTGGACAGCTCTGGAGTGTAGCATTAGTCATGTGAGAGAAGGCTTGCCAAAAAAAATGAATTAGTAACTCTTTAACCATTGACAAGCATTGAATAATAATGTTTGCTGTTTTCCTCAGTGGAATTACAGTACACTTGAA